ATGTGCTGCCCAGGGAGGTGGTGGATTCACCATCCCTGGAGGTTTTGAAACTGAGACTGGATGTGGCACTTAGTGCCATGGGCTAGTGACCACGGGAGGGTTGGGCTGGATGATCTGTGAGGTCTTTTCCAACCAGGGTGATTCTAGGATTCTATGACTTAAAAGCAATGCAGTCTTTGGGTAACATTTTGTGAACACTGCAGCTCAGGGGGTGGCTGCTTCCCACAGGCATCAAAAAGATGGAAAGAGAAATAACATTTGCTTTGCCCTTTTCAGTGTTTTCAGTATTTCTGAGGAACAAGCACATGCCAAATGAGAGGAAACCAAAGTTTGTTGTTCTGGAGCTAACAGGAAATAGTCCATAATTCCCTTCCACCTCATTCTTGTTGGCTTTTGTTACTGAACAAATCTGAGTGATATAATTTTTAGATTATTCATGACACAATTACAGGTAAAACTAAAGATGATATAAATTTCTGAGGCCTTAACAAATACCTCTGTCCCTTCAGTTCCACCCAGGACATTTCCATGTCTCTGAAGCAGCTGCTGAGGTCATGCAGCAGTTTGTCTGAAGGTGTTCAGGGGAAACACTGTGGGTGATGAGCATGCAAAGTGCAACGCATGCAGTGAAGAACTACTCTAATGCTGAAGTGCTTCAAAACATTTGAAAGCTTTAAAAATGTAGGTCTTCTGTGCATTTCAGCATCTTGTTTGCACCAGGAGGTACAGCAGTGCACGCACCGTATCTTGTGTGGGAGCTAGTCCTCTTCCATACACCACTGAGCTTAGTCTGAACAGCACAGGTCGATGAGCTCTGGCCTCACCAGATCTCAGAACTGGCCCTGAGCAGGGGCAGCACAGCAAGGGGAGTGCACTGTGCAGAGAGCAGCGAGGGCTCTGCAGCTGTGAGGACCCTGTGAGCGTCCTGCATGAAGAAACAGCACTGATGTCAGTTGTGCAAAGCCAAAGCTCTTTCTGCCTGACCTCCCAAAAGAAAGCTAACCGCCCCCGGCGGAAAACCCCAAACCTGTCAAAAAACCTTTCCGTTCAAGTTCATTTGCAGCAGATCAATGTATCTATGTGCTCCAATCCATCCTGCAGCGACAGCTAAGGTACCTTGGTGCAGTGAAGGCCAGAGGCAGTTTGACCCATGCCCACTCGTCCCCAGGCCCAGGCTGTCGTGCTGCCACTCCTGGTGTCACTCCTTCAGAGAGGCTGGAAGCAGCTTGTTGCATGCTCAGTGCTCTGCAGCAGTGCCATCTTCCTTGGGGCTCTGCAGCCACGTCCCAAACCAGGTGTCTGTAGCAGAGTTTAGTTTCTGTATAGTTTCTACATCTGTCTCCCAGCGTTTCCTGCAGATGCTGCTGCTCTTAAACGTCCTGACAACAACGCTACACTCTTTGCAGAGTGCTCCATGAGTTAACCCAGGTCTTTGTTTGGCAAAGCATTCCTTCATATCTACACTAAATATCCAAGCTGCTTTGGTCAGGAAGGGCTCAGATACACATCCACTTTACTTACAAAGAGGCTCCAATGTTACTGAATAGACCTAGTGGCAACTAAAATGACAAAAATGATTCATTTTCATCCCACATCCCAGACATTTGGAGACAGAGTCCTTTATCCAGCCTCGTGGATAGTTCCTCTCTTTGTGGTGTTTTCTACCATCGGATCTGCCAATGGGACCTGTTTCACTGCAGGCAGGTGAGTTCCTCTTCTGTCTCCAAATGAAAAGTTTTGAAGGCCGGAAAAGTTTATGTACATGTAAAGGCATTCTGATCCATGTTATGCAGCATGTAATCTAGAATTTCCTGTAAGTCTCAAGGGTTTAACCTTCAAAAAGAAATAGTGGCTCTGCAGGTCTGAAAAGTTAGAAAATAACATCTCTTAAATCAAAGCAGGTAGAGCACAAAAGGGTTTTTTTCACCTCTCATCAATTTTAAAGCTGAGAATTAAGCACTGAAAAGTTACTGGTCAGAACGTAACTACACCAGTGATGAGAAATCTGACTGGGAACAGAAGCTGTTCCTTTCCATCTGTTGTTCAGTGCTTCAATTTACTATTGAAAATACCTAAAAATTTCAAATCCACCTGAATCCAACAGGGCTGCAGAGGCATTTCTGACAGGTTGTCAGCGTGGCTTTTGAATGCGAAGCAAATGACAAGAGAAATACCTAATTGGAAGAGACTCAGTAGCTAACATTTCCCCAAATGATTTTCAATTACATTTGCAAACTAATAATTCTGAAATTAGTTTCAAGTTTACTATTTTAACACTGGTTCAGAATTAGTTTCTAGTTCACTGCTTTAATACTGTTCCTGTTATTTCAGTCTACTGCAACACTCCTAATTCCCAGTGCACATCAAAGGAGATCCTGATGGAATTATAGGCAGGTGTAGCCACACAGTAAAACAAAGCTGGCAACGAATGGTGCTCATCTCTTTCAGTGATGCCACCTAAAGGGTAGGTACCTCACTAACTGCATCTTCTTGTTGGTGTCCTGTCAGACTCGTTTACGTTGCGGGCCGTGAAGGGCACATGCTGGAGGTGCTGTCCTACATCAGTGTCAAGCGGCTGACACCAGCTCCTGCCATCATATTTTATGTGAGTATGTGTCCTGAGTGCAGCAAGATGATCTCCAGTGACACACACTTCCACAGTTCCTTGACAATTTGTAAGAATCAACAGCATGAACACAAAAAGTTAAATCATAGAACCACGGAATTTTAGGGGCTGGGATGGAGCTCA